CCTACCTTTCAAGCATGGATTTTCCAAAGCGTTCAGATTATCATTCCTAGTATACTATCAGATACATACTTCTCTTTCTCCGCTACGTACATGTTTCTCACTCATCGCATTGTTCTCCCATCAAGATCGTCGGTCTTATATTGCCTTGCGTGTATTCATTATCGTGTGTTTCTCAAGATTATATTTTCCGAGCGGTTGTCTCTACAAACCGTCTGACGAATGAACCCCCATGCTCCTTTAGAGTTCAATGATGCACTGCGAAGCTGGCAATAGTACCGGTACCCGACAGGACTGCGATTGCGGGTCACGTGTGAACATTACCGGGTCGCAAGTTTGCAACCTTCCTGTCAAAGATACGACCCACACACGAAGGCATCTTGTTTTCGCTTTTTCCCTTTCTGGGTACGTACACCTTCAGCCATTACTAATTAAGCGCGAAATGCGCAGAATTAAAGGGTCTTGATCCCTGAGATCAGTACACTTTACCTCCTTAACATTTCAAAGTACTTCTAACGTCCTCAAATATGCTCAAGCGAAACCGAGGTCCAGATAGGCGTTGGTACCTGCGTTTCCGCTCATAATTGCTCAGTAGAACCACGGAATAAGAGTTCGTGTTCCAAGGGCCAAATGGAGCCCCTCCTGGACCCTCACACTTAGTAGTATAAATCACCAGTTTTTAGAGTTTCAACTGGATATCTTTGCCGATACAGCATGGGTTTTGAAAGACATTTACTTCATTCGCTTTGGCCGAATGCAATTAAGATGCATACGATCCGAGCCCCAGAGAATCACCGTCTTGAGCTAACTCAAAATGATCTCCGGGACTTCCAAGCGTCCGTCTGCAGTCTGGATTTGGAATGTGCGAATACCCACAGCGAGTTAATGCATGCTCTATATCTCTATCACTACTAGTGCTTTGGGACTTGCAACACTTTATATACAAACCAACTATCGGCACCTCAAGATGGAAATCTGAGCATTAGCCTTACCGTAGACTCCTATTGAGAACGTCTTTTCCAAGCTTCAGACGCTTTCTTAACACTGTCACCATGGTAGCTTTCTCCAGATCAGCCGCCATTCTCGCGGCTGCCCGGCTCTTGTCCACTGTTGCTGCCGAAAATGCAACCAATGTCAACAGTACTATCATCCCCGGAGCCTACATTGTTGAGCTTGCCCCTTCTCAGGTACGTCCAGAAAATTTACTCGGAGCCAGTCCTTGTATTTATTGAATAAAATGCTAGGATCAAGATAGCTTCTACTCTGAGCTTGAGGGCTCGATCGGCGACACCGTCACAGCCAGCCGGAACCTCACGTTCTCGCTCTTCAAAGGCGTCTCATTCCGTACCTCAACCTCTGACGATACTACTTCCGACTCCATCGCCGCTCTCCCCGGTGTTATCAACATCTGGCCTGTCAAGCACTTCGCCGCCCCCGCGCCCATCGTTGAATGGACAGGACGCGGGCTTCCACTAAACAAGCGTGCTGACGATGTCAACAGTGCATACTCTCCGCATATTATGTCTCAAGTGGACAGACTGCACAATGAAGGCATATACGGCACAGGGCTGAAAATCGCGGTCATTGACACCGGCGTTGATTACACGCATCCAGCTCTCGGCGGCTGCTTTGGCCCAGGATGTGTGGTGAGCTATGGCTATGATTTTGTTGGTGACAATTTTACCGGCGACAACACTCCAGTTCCTGACGATGATCCGAGAGAAACCTGCAGAGGCCACGGAACCCACGTGGCGGGTATAATTGCAGCTCAGCCCAATGCTGGAACACCACTAGGTTTCACGGGAGTATCCCCGAATGTCACCTTGGGAGCTTATCGCGTATTTGGGTGCGCTGGGGATGCAACCACCTCAGACGTTCTTATCGAAGCTACTATTCGGGCGTATGAAGATGGTAGCGATATCATAACCGCTTCTCTTGGCTTCCCAAGTGGATGGGCTCAAGACGCATGGGCTACGACTGTCTCGCGAATCGTCGCCGCTGGTGTTCCTTGCACTGTAGCAGCTGGTAATGAAGCGACTAAGATGGGAATCTTCGCTGCAAGTGATGCATCAGTCGGGAACGGGGTTTTCTCGCTTTCATCTGTCGGTAACACCCAACAACCTACCTACAATAGCGATACGCAGACAGTATTCTCACCCGATGATCCCGTGAATGGAGGGTTTTTAAGCTACTTCTCATCGTCAGTACAATGTCCCTTTCACTTGTAGTTTCAAGAGGCGGAGATAAGAGCCTCACTTCGGAGGAATTTTCAGCCAAATGCTAAAAAGCCAAATAGCTGGGGCCCAACCTGGGAGCTAGAAATGAAGCCTAGCTTCGGCGCTCCAGGTGGCAACATTCTCTCAACCTACCCAGGCGGCAGCTATGCCGTTCTCTCGGGAACTTCAAGTATGTACAACTCCCCACCTATCTCCACCAATCTTCTGATATTCCAGCTCTCAGGGCATTCTGTCGTAGCCTGAGATCCTCAGACATGACTCCAAATCCTTGAGCATCACAGCACTGACTTTTATGGAGTGTCCACACCCTTCACGGCCGGCGTCTTAGCACTCATTGCCCAGGTGCGCGGTATCGAAACTCTTCGCAACCCACAATTGCTCGAGATCCTCCTATCGAGCACCTCAAACGCCAATATGCACCACAACTCCCTGCGCGGCACCAATTTCCCCTGGCTCGCGTCCGTCGCCCAACAAGGCGCCGGCCTGATCCAAGCACACAACGCTGCATATCTCACGACCATCCTCGACACCTCCAATATCGCTCTGAACGACTCAGATAACTTCGTGTCCGAGAAGACTATCACCATTACCAACACTGGCAACGAAGCAGCGACCTACAGCTTCGGCCACCGCTCCGCCATCAGCATCTTCGCCCTCTATGCAAACTCCATTTTCCGCGAAAGCTACATGGCCGAGACGGTCGAAGCCTTCGCCAGCCTGACCTTCTCCCCGCCCAGCCTCTCCATCCCGGCCGGCCAGAAACAATCCGTGAGCATATCCTTCACGGCCCCCGACACCGGCGCGCCTGCCCGCCTCCCCGTCTACTCGGGCTTCATCACCATCAACGGGACCCAAGGCGAGAACCTCGCGGTGCCATACCTGGGCGTCGCCGGCAGCATGCTAGCCGCCACCGTCATGAACCCAGCCCAGATGGACTTCTTCAGCGTCGTGAACGGCGACACCATATACGAAGTCCTCAAGGCCGACGTGACATTCGTTCTCCCCGTGCCCCCGGAAGGAACGCCCACGCTGGCGCCGAACCTCACCAATGCCCTCGAGCCCGGCCGGCTGCCGGCCCCCGTCGTGATCCTGATATTGGGCTCTCCCCTCCTGCGGGTCGAGATCGTGCCCATCGGCGCGTGTGCCGACTGCGAGGTGCATGACGTGCTGGGCCTCCGCAGCATCGGGAATACCGCGGGGATGCCCACGACGTACAACAGCCCGACGGGACTGACCACCTCGTGGGACGGGCAGCTGGACAGCGGCGCATACGCGCCAGCGGGGAGATACAAGATTGTTGTCATGGCGCTGCACATCTTCGGCGACGCGACCAACGCGGAGCATTATGATACCTGGGAGTCGCCCGAGTTTAATATTGTCTATCAGGATTAAAAGTCTCTCCACGTAGTCAGTGATTAGACACCTACCTACCTAATCGAAGAAAGTGAATGTAAATATAAGAGGAGGACCAAAAGCTACTAGTTTTATTTTAATGTCATATTACGACCGAAAAATATTGGAAAGATAAGGGGCGATGCCGAGATATCGTACTGTGGTGGTGGCGTGCTGCCGCGAGCTTTGGCTAATCGACTGCTCATTACCAACCAGTCAACGGCTCAGCCGCTTCACATACTTACCACCCAAGGGAGCGTTATTTACCTAATGACCCAAAACAAAACAGTGAAAAATTTACATACAAGCGAGCATTCACCCAGCCCCCCTTCCCCCCATGATCTCCGAATGAAAACTCGAGGTTTTCTCTGCCGCTGAAGAGAGGCTCTTCGTTCTCGCAACCCCTGATTCCCCTCGTGCGCGCTCTCTCATCAAGATTCAAGACCAGGCCCGCGCGATAGTATTGCCACGCCACGCTCTCTCGTGTAAGCAGCGAAGTCCCGCCGTCTCCTACGACTTCCCTCCGCTGCTGCTGCTGCTGCTGCTGCTGCTGCTGCTGCTGCTGATGATGGAGCGTGATAATGATGATGGACCGTGTAAGCAAGAGGGTACCTCTCTCTGAACCGCTCTTCGGCCGTCAGGATCATCTTGTCTTCTCCAGGGGAGGTTCCAAGCTAGGGAGGAGGGAGACGAGATCCTGTGATGGTTAGACGTCCCTTACCTCCGTCTTCCACTCGTGGGTGAGAAAGGTCACAAACGAGTATCTATTCCATAACGGTTGAATGAAAAATGACTGTTCACCAGAGAAAGAACCTGCTCTGATTGGGGAGATCCTACCTAAGACCTAAGAAACTCCGTATCCATCGTCTTACGCCAGACCTCGTGAAACACCTCGCTCCCATCCTAATCCCCCAAAAAACGCCAATAGATCTGTTCATCTATCGTCTCCGCCCGCCCTTTTTTCTCCGGCTTTCATCTGCGCTTACATCCCCTTCGAGGGCATAGTCCGTCCCAGCCGTCGGACTCTTCCTCCGCATCTCTCCTCTGCCCACAGCAACGAACTCCTCTTCGCTCTCGCTGTCCATCAAATCCAGTTGGACCGGCATCCGGAAAGCATTCTCCTCTTCCATGATGTTGGCTTTCACAGGCTCCCACGTCAAGACGTCGATGTCGTCATCTTCGAGATCCAATCTCCGCTTGTGGATTTCCTCCTGCGGGTGGATATCAAATTCGTCCTCGTGCTCGATATACTCGACGTTCTCCTCCACCTCGGCAAAGTCTGGCGCAAGGGCTGACCATTTCTGTTGTGGGATGATGGACCAGATATTTATGCGTCCAGACTCCAGGCCACAGGCAGCTATTAATGCCCGATGGGGGTGCCACTCCACAACACCGTGTTCCTCCTTGGGGCCCTCCAAGATCTTGACCAGGGATCCATGATTCCGCTCCCAGATATAAATATCATGATTGTTGTATGTGCTTGCTGTAACATATTCCCCCGTCGAGCTGAAAGCCACATGGTTCCAACTCAGTCGATTGACCACATCCTGGAATTTGTGCTCAACTTCAATATCAATCGTATCAGGGTCCAGATCCGGGGCCGAGAAATTAGGTAGCGGTATAGTGCGAATGATGCGGTCTGAGGCATTGACAACCACATCGCGTCCTGAGCTCGTGAGCCGCAGGTAGACCACCACACCTGCAGTAATCTTCGTAGAATAAATAGTAGTCCGTGATGAGACTTCGATAACGTTTAACCAGCCCTTATTTGTCCCCGCTAGTATATGATCCCCAGTCGCAGTGAAAACCGCAACGGTCGTACATTGCTTAGCATCGAGCGCAGCCTGCTTCTCGTTGACCGGTTCGTCCCCATCAAATTGGGTCCGCTTGGGAGCTGTAGGGATGTTCATCTTCACGACACGGGGATTCGAGATGTCAACGAGGAGAGGCTGGTCTTCGAAGAGAGCAGCAACGAACATTAAGCTGTTCCAAGTCAGCTTCATTCTCCCCAAACAGCGCGGACTGGCATACTGATTCCAAGGATGCAGTTCTGCAATATAGACCGGAGCTTCGAATCGTACCATCCGTAATATACGTCCCTCTTGCAGGTCCCAGAGATTGCATTTCCAATCTTGACTGCTGGTAAGCAGATACCGACCATCGCGCGACCAACTTAGCGATTGGACCTGCCGTGTGTGTCCTTTCAACTTCCGTGCTACTCCGTTGGTTTCCACGTCGAATATAACAACCGTCCCATCTGCGCGTCCGGCAGCGAGGAAGTCGCCTTTCCTGTTGAAGCGTACACAGGTCGCATGGCCGCTGCGGAGGCTTCTTGTCGTCGATTCTGGATAGTCCTGGGCGAGAACAAAAGGGTCGACAAGGGAAAGATTCATCGTAACTATGTGATCGGATCGTCAGATGAGGGTTGGTTGGTTGGCTGTCGCATTCGGCATTGAAGTTGGAGTTGACAAGGCTGAGCTCTTATGTTTTTTTAGGGGTACGGGCAAGGCTGTGATAAAACGTGACAAGTTTAAACTTGCCCGTAACTACCTTTGAAGCAGGTACTTCAAAAGATAGAGAGATTATACTCATCCAGCAGCGATCTAAATATAAATATTACAATTAATGCTTCAACCACTAGCTTCTTTCCGAAAGCCAGCTACCAAATCTTCCAGCTCCAGAGATTCAGTTGTTCTAATAGTCCTCGCTTCCGCATAGCTACCTTATCATCCTCTCAATTACTATCCAATGTGTTTTCAATCCCACCGTAGCAATAACTCACTCACCCTTACAGATCACAGATCTCCATTTCAACTCCCACATAATAGAAGCCTTAAAGACCTGACTCCCCTTCATTAAGCGAAGCTGAAGCGAGAATTCGATCAGAAAGCAAGTAAATAATCATAACAACTTAAAGTATTCAGTCAAAGCCATCTTCTATTATTGTTGTTAAAAGTTCGAATCTTAATCTTCGGGAAGATTTCCGAGTAAATAAGAGGGTTCAAATGGTATGTAATATAGTTGTAATATACTATCTGAATAATGGGATCAGATCTTTATTCGAAAATGTCTCATGAACTTCACGAGATGTCATCATATGCCCCTTGATTTGTTTATAAAAGGGTATATATCTTGGGAGGTTCATTATTGAATTTGAATTCGTATAATGATTATCAAAAAGGATGGCTGCTTCAGCCATCACTTGAAAACATCAGTGGTCACTCACACCCTCGATTGGAAGCACCTTTAAAGATGTCTCAACGGCAATAAAAATCAAAAAGCCTCCAGCACTGCCAAATGCCTACCCCAAACTCCACGCGCCTCCGCTATTCCCAACAGTTCTACTTCGTGTTTCGCTGTCGCACTCTCTCTCTCTCTCTCTCTCTCCCTCTCGTCCATTCATATATCCCCTAAATCGACCAGCTCAGGATCTGTATTCGGATACCTCTTCCTCCGCTCCCTCGAATGCCTCTGCTGATGACGCTCTGACTCCTCGCGATCCGTAATCCACCGAACCGTTTCTCCTGGTGCCTTCGTCCTCCTCCTTTCCGGGTATTCGTCTCTATCTCTCTCACGATCTCTCTGGCGGTTTCTCTCGCGGTTCCTCTTTCGGTCTACATCACGATCTCTTTCGCGGTTTCGATCCCTTCGAGGCTTTCCACTGCCGTTTTCCCTACTGCCGCGACTCGATGCTAGATTTCTGATTGGTCACAGAAAGAGACTTGCTTGGAATGGGAGAGACATACGGCCACTTCTATAAGGTGGATGTTCCGATGCAGAACTCGCTTTCAATGTTTTCGAAGCCCCCTTGTTCTTTCCGTCCTCATCCTTCTGCTTGGGCGGCGGACCCTCTCCCATAATCGGTAGCGCCCACGAGACAGGCGGTAGAATGACCGACGTATTCATAATCCTGTCCTGGTCAGCCTTTCCCCCTCACATACTCTCCCTCTCCATCCCCATCAGACAAGCCACCCACAAAGAAAGTTTCGTCGCGCCTTTCGAGGCCGTGACACCGTACTCGAAGCGACTCTTCCACCCTGAGCTCGTATTGCCATTCCCCCACCGCGCGGCCTTGAAGTCACTGCCCTTGACATTCAAATACGTGAGGTTGCTCGTCGAGATGTAGAAGCCAGGCGTGCGGTTATTTTCTTTGCTATCATGCGGGAGAACGATTGTGAATGCGATTTTGGACATTACGTATTCCAGCCTCTTCGCTCTCACTCCTCTCGAAACGTAAACAGCAAAAGCAAAAGCAAAGGAAAGCAGGATGCGCTGGACTTCAGAACGCTAGAGAACACGACAGACATAGAGAGCCAGATGAGAAAATAAATTACGGACGAAGGCGCGGAGTGCGAGGGACAAAAGAAAGAGTTGAGATGAGGGAGAACGCCATGGCGATTGAGAAATCCCCATGGCAATATCAAACAGGGTCCACGTCCAACGTTACTGGCTTGCTGGCTGGCTCTGTATCAGATTCCCCGGGCTACCCAGAGGGCGGAACGCCTCGTTGACTCGTATCAATGCGATGCATTGGAGACGTGAAGTCATGAGGAGATGCGAGTCGGGGAATTGAGGGACGAGTGGGATCATCCTTGCCGAGGGACTAATTGCGTGATAAACCAACCCTAAGCCCACCACATTTTGCAACGAAGAGAGGCAGTTCGGATGAGTATGAGAGATTGAGATGGTGAAAAATGTTTGGGTGGTGGATCACGACTGTGATCGTGTATTGAGTATCCTCTGGTTTGAAGTGAAAGGCACGTGATCGCGCGGCAGGAATCCAGAACGGAATTATCGTTTCGCTCCCCCGAGAGTGGACCTATGCTTTTGCTGGTGGGAAGGGCCTCGAACGAGAAGGGGATGGTAGGAGAGACAGAGAGAAAGCAGATAAACAACGTACTCGGTTCCGTTCCATAGGGTGCTCACGATCCAGCATTCCATATTATCCCCAAGAATATCTCGTGAGCTGTTATTACATTTATTTAAACAAAAGATTCATCTGAACCCCAGTCACGGCGTCTGAGAGCGAGGATACCAATAACGAAAGCACTCGCATCTCATCTGATACCTATCACTCATCACCCACAACGAATGACCTGCTGCGAAACACCAATCCAAACACAGAAATCCCAAGAGAGGGTCTGTAGGTCCCCCCAAGATGCATATGTCCAACCTGGTCATCTGCATCCCAAATCCAGAATCATAAGAAAGTCGCTCAAGCAAGAGAAAAATCAATAACAACAACAAAAACCAAGTAAGCATCAGAATTCGTTTCATGCGAAAAGGAGCCTCAGCCACAAGATCTCGCGCTTCACATAGCTATACAGCTCCCAGCTATCGCCATCACTGAGAAGAAGATAAAATATCGAGGGAAAGGCAAAGGGAAATGCACTCGCAGAATGATGGGGTTCCACCATCTTCGTCTGAGCTCCTTTGATTGTCCGGATATCTCGACGATACCCGCAAATAATCCCGCGCCGTTTCATTATTCTCCCGGTTTTGATACATCCTAGACGCCCCAAATCGAAAGCCGTATAGGCAACCTGTGTCCCAGAATCAGTCTTTATCTATGTCCATCTCGCCGTCCCCGTCTCCATCCCCATCTCCATCCCCATCCACATCCACATCCCCGCCTCCAAACAAATCCTCCATCCGTCCTTCCCCTTCCTCATCCCCATTCTCCCCGTCGTCTCCATCCCCGTCCCCCATCACAACATCCATCCCGCCACCGCCGCCAACCCCACTATCGATGTCCTCCTCATCGTCAGCCTCCACCCACTCGCCCTTAAGTCCCCATGGCACACCCGTCAACACAAACCTCTCACTCGGCAGCCTCACCCCCCACTCATTTTGCAACACTCTCGGCAGGGCAACCTTATTCCTCGCTTGCGCTGTCTCCATCAAAAAGTCCTTCGTCAATCCTCCACCTCCAGTCCCACCCCCAAACTGATACTGTAGCCTACTTGAAATAGCAAGCTGAACCGCGTTAGAGCTAACCTGGCCGTCTGCGTCCCGGAAACCACCACCGGGTGGCGCGTCTCTGGCGCGTGTCTGTTGCGAGACGTAGGCGTCGGAGGAGAGGTGGAGCGCATCAGAGAGGATGGAGGAGGTGTGGCGATAGGCGAAGTCGAGCAGTTGCAAAGGCACGCGTTCTTGGTAGGCCGTGCAGCCTACGGAGGAGAGGAGGAGGTGGATTGTGCGTACATCGCGGGGGCGCTTCGAGAGGCCGCTGTCATTGAGAGAGGTCAGGGGGACGCTTGGGTTGGAGAGGATCTTGGGTGGTGTTGCTGCCGCTGCCGCTGCCGCCGCCGGGGGTTGCGGCACGGGGGGTGCTGCTTGTGCGGGAGGAGAGGTGTGCCCGTTGGTTTGGGGGGCATCGCCGTTAACTTCTGCCATTGTGTAGGATGTGATTTGCTTGAGGGCTTGTATGTGACGAGAGCGATTGCAGATAGCAGACTCAGTCTGTGACCCTGGGACCTCTCAATAACGTATTCCTATTCTCAATGTACTTTAGATCCTGTACGAATGTGCCCCTGCGATTTCGTCCGTCCTTCGTCGTGGTAATTCCAAGGAGGACAGCGAGGCTATTTATTGTATGAATGATTGACGCGCTGGTAGTCGTAGCACATCCGGCAGTGGTGGTTGTTGGAGACCTGCAAGAGATTGATCGAGTTGCAGCTTCAGATATGGCGATATAGCAGAAGGGGAGTAAACGCGGGATCCGGCGCAAAGACGAGGCTCTGAATGCATCTGTTCGTTCATCTTCAATTGTCGAGAATCCGTACTAACGGAACGATACGAACATTGGCCCCTGCTTCTTCAGCGTGCACGGTCCACACTCTAAATCGGCCCACAGTAATTTTGGAGGGGGAGGGGCAAAGCAACTCGATCCCCGATATCGCAAATTTTTGAGTCACTCTAGTACAACCACAACTATATCAAGAAACAACAACGACAACAACAGCAACATTCATATACACAACACCAAATACGAAAGACCTAATACGAAACAAATGGATACCACCTGTTCCCTCCCATTTCTCCCCAGCGTCGACCTCACCAACGAGACTTTAGAATCCGAGGAGAGCCTAACTCGTACTCAGCTGTCGTATCTGGGATGCGCTCACTTTACAGCCACCCCAGAGTCGCTGGGCCTTCTCCTCGAATTCCTGTCGAAAAACATCTCCAAAATTGAATCCTACGTCGACGTTTCCCAGATTGAATCCGTCGATGACGTTCTCTCGATTTTAAACGCCGGTGCCAAGAAGATATTTTGTTTGTCTACGGTATTCAAAGACTCGGAGTCATTCGGAGATCGAGTGGTTCCGATTCTGCACAAGGGGGACTCTTCGCAGGCATATAAATATGGAGTCCTGCTCGCTGCCCCGGATTTGGAACAGGCAGAGGCGGGCTTGAAGAAATTGGCAACATGGAATACTACGCCCATCTACATCACAACAGCCTCTACAGACGAAGACGCTATTATCGCCCTTGCCAAAGACTACTCAGCCGTGCCTATTATTCCTGCCACGAACTTGACAGTTGAGCTAGCTTCCCAGACCAAGATATCCATACCTGCCTTGATTGCAGGTACATGGACATCAGATAGAGAGGATAAGCTGGTTCCGACAATGGTTACGACCGAGGCTGGTATTGCTCTGGGATTGGTGTATAGCGATCGCCAGAGTGTGGGGCAGTCATTGAAGATTGGACAGGGAGTCTACAAGAGCCGAAAGAGAGGTTTGTGGCACAAGGGAGCAACTTCAGGGTCGACGCAGGACTTGGTTCGGATTTCGTTGGATTGTGACCAGGATTGCTTGAGATTCATGGTTCGCCAGCAAGGAAGTGGTAAGGCTCTCGTCATCATGAATTAGATCTTCAACTAAATCTTCCAGGATTCTGCCACTTGGCTCAGCAAACATGTTTTGGTGACCTCCGGGGCATTGCGAAACTGGAGAAGACTTTAGTTTCAAGAAAGGCCTCGGCGCCAGAGGGATCATATACATCTCGTCTCTTCTCGGATGAGAAGCTCTTGCGAGCAAAGATCATGGAGGAGGCCGAGGAGCTTTGTGATGCTCAGACCAAGGACGACGTTGCTTTTGAAGCTGCAGACCTGATCTACTTTGCACTCACAAAGGCTGTTAGTGCTGGTGTCAGTGTTGCTGACATCGAACGTAACCTCGATCTCAAGAGCGTAAAAGTCAAGAGAAGACAGGGAGATGCCAAGGGGAAGTGGGCCGAGAAGGAGGGTATTACCAACGGTGTCAAACCGGCTGAGGCAAAGGCAATTCTCAACGAGGCTGCTTCTGTACCCAAGTCGAAAGATGACCCGGCTGGCCTCGAGAATGGTCGAATCTCAATGAGACGCTTCCATGCTGCAACAACATCACCCGAGGACCTCCGAGCTGTTCTGCAACGACCTTCACAGCGATCCACAGAGACTATCATGGGCATCGTCAACCCGATTATCAAGGGCGTTCAAGCAGGCGGAGACAAAGCTCTTCTCGAGTACACTCACAAGTTCGAAAAGGCTACATCTCTCACCTCTCCAGTTCTCAAGGCTCCATTCCCACAAGCACTCATGAATCTACCAGCCGAGACCATCGAGGCTATCGATATCTCGTTTGAGAATATTCGCAAGTTCCACGCCGCCCAAAAGGAGGACAAGCCACTGCAAGTTGAGACCATGCCAGGTATCATCTGCAGTCGATTTGCCCGTCCCATTGAGCGCGTTGGTCTGTACGTGCCTGGAGGAACTGCCGTCTTACCATCAACTGCACTCATGCTGGGTGTCCCGGCTATGGTCGCAGGGTGCAAGACCATCGTCCTCGCATCCCCGCCTCGAGCCGATGGTAGCATCACCCCTGAAATCGTCTACGTGGCCCACAAAGTCGGCGCCGAAGCCATCGTCCTCGCGGGTGGTGCCCAAGCTGTCGCAGCCATGGCCTATGGTACCGAATCTGTACCCAAGGTCGACAAGATCCTCGGACCAGGAAACCAGTTCGTCACCGCGGCCAAGATGTTCGTTTCTAACGACACAAACGCAGGTGTTAGTATTGATATGCCAGCCGGTCCATCCGAAGTGCTGGTCATCGCCGACAAGGAAGCTAACCCTGCATTCGTGGCATCTGACCTCCTCTCTCAAGCTGAGCACGGTGTAGACAGCCAAGTGGTACTTATTGCCATTGACCTCTCCGAGAAGGAACTGGCCGCTATTGAAGATGAGCTGCACAACCAAGCCATGGCTCTTCCCCGCGTGGATCTCGTTCGCGGCGCAATTGAGCACTCGGTTACATTGGTGGTGAAGGACATGAAGGAAGCAATGGAACTTAGCAACGACTACGCACCTGAGCATCTCATCCTGCAAGTCAAGAACGCTCAGAGTGTAGTTGACATGGTACAAAATGCCGGATCTGTCTTCATCGGCGAGTGGACGCCAGAAAGTGTGGGCGATTACTCTGCTGGTGTCAATCACTCTTTGCGTAAGTTCAAGCCAACATTCATTCTCGTTCACAATCTCTTTTATATTCCACTCCTCTCCACGACGCCTTTAGATGATAAAAAACTCTGACTGATATACTCTAGCAACATACGGCTACGCAAAGCAGTACTCCGGGGTCAACCTTGGCTCCTTCACTAAGCACATTACCAGCGCCAACCTCACGGCTCAAGGCCTGCGTAATGTCGGCGGTGCGGTGATGCAGCTCGCCAAGGTCGAAGAGTTGGAAGCACACAGGCGTGCAGTAAGTATTCGATTGAGGTGGATGGATGAGAACAAGATTTGAGAAAAGAATTTGAGATGAGATGCGACGAAAATGGATGATATGATGTGAAGGATATTGCATATAGACAAACTCAAAACGGGAAGACAAAATTCAACTCTGGAAACGGGAGATTATGCTAGATTTGACGATCCAACATAACTCAAGAGATCTATCCTATTCGTAGGGGAAGGGCGCAAACAATGGTAGCTTTTGCTGCACTATTTGAACTGCTTTCTAGGGCTGTCTTGTATGTAACTCCTTAGCTTAGCACGTCGCCGTACCCCATGGGAGGTCCCAGGGCTGCAGGCTTCGCCTGCTACCCGCCCGACGTTAATAAATACAACAACAACAACAAAAACAACATGAATCAAGAGATTGTTATAAAAGCCTACTCTCGGGTTAAACAAGAGGAATCCTAATCAGCCATAGCTGTCGAAAAAGATGTAAGGAAGAATAGCTACACCAAATCCCTCGAGCTTGACGAGAACAGACCCCTCGTCCTCTTCAATCAGCTACAGAAAGCCCCCGAGCGCCATTCTTCGGCCCGGCGTAGCCCTAGTATCAAGACTGAGGGTGTTGAGGACTTTGATATAGACGCCGACGGGTCCTGTGTTTGTGCGTCGAGGGCTGGTGGGCTCATGACGGATTCCGCGGTGCGGACGGCAGAGGGCAAGAGGATGGGGGGTTATTCATAAGCTGCGTATGATAGATTGGACCAGTCGTTACTCGTTAGTTTACATAAGAGTATGCCGGATAGGATTGAAGCTTGTATCGCGGCTGAAGGCTGGCATACTAAAGATTAGGGTTCGTGCGCATTCAAATAATCACGCCGAAAACTAAGAAGAAAAGCTGAGATCCAAGGAGTTTAATGTTATTAGTTTTATAAGAATTATATTTGTAGTAATTACGCAATTGAGAAATGATAGTTGAATTTCTGATATTGATTTTGATGTTCTCGCTTAAATGGCCAACAGCAGTTGCCTACTGTAGTACTGCTGTAATCTCAGGGACATCTCGCTTAATTCTGGTGGGGTCGATCGCTGGAATGTTGTGAACAAAGCCCATTCAACACCTCCCCATCTCGCGGTAAGACCGTTCCTGGCCGAGCCAGATGTTTGCATGTTTTTTTTTTTTGCAATCCGTCAGACAATGCAGTAAACATTTTCCCCCAAGGCCTCATCCCAAGATCGGATAAATCCAGCCGAGAACCCCGACGACATCTTGCTTGCTCCGTTCCAAGCCCGACCACACCCGGAAGAGAATGGCAGCAGCTATCACAAACGAGACACTCAAGCAGATAAATTTCTGGCGCCAGTATAGGAATCCCAACGATGTACCGCTGTCAATCCGAGATGCGGCCAGGATATATCGGACTTTTCCCTACACGCCACCGACTCCTGCGCCGGCCGGCGCACCGCGGAACATAACGACCGATCCGAGCCCAGACGACCCGGATGTCGTTGTTCCTCTGGGTCAGGTCTTTCGGGATTTCATCGGGAAGACGATTGCTGGCATCCCGGTGGACCCGGCCTACTGGAAGGGGAGGAAGTTCTTGGGGTCTGGGGGTACGGCGATGGCTGGGCTGTGGGAGTGGGATGGGCCTCCGGAGAAGATGCCTGGCTATACACAGGTTGTCGTTAAAGAGTAAGATCCTGTGAGATCGTATTCGTTTTTCTCAACCAGCTTCCGGGTGTGACCAACAGTTGTGTTGGGTGGAATTTTTGTATTGACAGCCCCATCATTTAGACTTCAACCGGGCCATTACACGGATGCGATATACAACGAGAGCATCTTCCTCACCGCGACGTATTACACCGGCTCACATATTGTAAAGATGCTGCACCCGGCCTATGCTTTGTGCCAGGGCGCAATGGAAGGGCTGGATGACGAATGGGACGGCGTTTACATCCGGATGTTCCAGGAGTACTGCTCTCTTGGTTCCTTGGAGCAGCTTCTGATGCGACGAATTGACCTGTAAGTTGCATGGTCAACAGCCAAATTAGCTAATACTGACATTCGGCCGAATAGACAGAAGCCTTTCAAGGAGACCACGTTGTGGATTATCCTCAACTGTCTCGTGGACGGGCTCATGGCATTGGAGTTCGGATCCGAGGACCCAAACCAGCCTTTTGCAGACTGGGTTCCGATCGTACACCTAGATCTGAAACCAGATAACGTCATGCTGGCTGAGATTCAGGATGGGCTACATAGTCTTCCCATACTCAAGGTAAGCTTAGTCTAGGAGGGAAAAGTCTCGGCTCCTCGTGCTGATCCCTGGTTTAGCTCATCGATTTTGGTAGCGCGGGATTCATCGACCCGAATAACCCACCCAGCGATGAAGACTTGGAGAGATGGAGGCTCATGGGCACCGAGGACTACTACACACCGGTATGAGCTGGTCTTACCCTGCACCTCCGACAGTGGAATGGCCATGACTTCGCCAAGTACTGATCTGCCGCTCCATAGGAACAATTTACCGAGGAATGGGACTTCAAAGACTTCAAAGCCTCGAAGATCGCGGGCGCGTACGGGCCCTGTACCAATGTGTGGGGTATCGGTGTCATCATGTTCCAACTGCTGACGCTCTCCAACAACCCACCAGACCACAAGCAGCCGTTCCTCCCGCAGAGCTCCGCCGGGAACTCGGACGGGATCCTCAACGGTGCGCCAGCAGTAGGCAACACCTACGGGAACGACATGCGCGCGTACTCGTATAGCAAGAGTCTGGTAGATACCATCTTCGAGTGTCTGTATGAGACGCCCGGCTTGCGCCCTTCGATCGCAGGTCTGAAGCAGAGGATTGGGGACGGCTTTGCCCTCTCCATGCAGCTTCAAGATCCCAGTATCTTTGAGCAATATGAGGATTTGGCTAGACCGGAGCCTATTTGAGCAAGTGGGATCTTGATTTTGAGGAGCCGCTAGCCGTACTACATATACGAGCAGCCTTCTTGTGTATATAACCTGAATGAATTCTCAGTATTCAATTGACAAACTAGTGTTTCACGATACTTTGACGATTATTCGGTGGAGGGATACACTTCATTGGCCTTGATCACAGCTAATAGATACCATCTTGAGACTTGAGACTTGAGTTGTGAGCCCGGCCGCGCAGAAAATATTGGCTTGACCATTGCTCTCCCGGCTGTAGAGAAGTCGTTGATCAAAGCGAGATATAGTCCTTTTGATCTAGCGTCGTTATGCTCGCCCGAACCCTTCTTTTCGACGAGCGTGGCTTTCCCAATCACAACTCTAGACACAAGCAAGAGAACCTTCAATAAGCAACGAATATCATCATATAGCGGTCCCAGTGAGCCTTACCTACGCATACATTGAAGCATATCCCATCGACCCAGCACCCTTCATTCATCCATCCATCCTTTCGTTAGGGACAGTACCAGAGTAGAACATTCAACGCACCGGATGCCGTTGTAAAGATTTCCACCATCAAAGAAAATCCCATAAAAGCCTTTACTTACGTAGTAATTCAGGAAATCCCTCCTGAAAATAACAGCAGGATCCCGTCTTCCACTCAAGAAACCGCATTATAAAAACGACTCCCTGCCCTACAGGATTCTTAATACATACCTACTACGTACATATCCATTTCGAGAAGGAGCAACCTCGCTTATTTTGCCAAGAAATCAAACCATGAAGCGTTCTCGGTACGGATTTCCAGCACATAGGACTCCGGAAGCCAATTCCTCAGCAGTCTCTTTGCGCAAACCAATAGAGTGTCAACCAAGACATGTTCGTAGAAGGAATGAATTGAATCGCAGCACGGGTGGAGGGGGGTGTGCGAACACGCTGGACGCGAACCTGGCGAGAAAGTAATTTAACAATCACCAGTTGAGTTGTTCCTTCCAGCCTGGTACTGAGCGCCCCTGGTATCATACCTACCTATCCATGTTCCGAAAGCCCATCTGCTCCAAGCAATTTGGCCCACGCCCCGTTTCCATCCTACGACGGCCCAATCCTACAAACCCAAGCCTTGCTCGCTTTTGACTGAGCCGGAACCCGTCCTGCCTCCTCAACTCATCCCTACCGGTACATGTACCTATTCTGTCCAGCCGTGGCACTTGCCCGCCACGCTTCCTGATCCATCATCGTGTCTCTCGGGGATATTCTTCGGCGTCACTTCCGTATCTGCCTCTCTACCACCCAGCTGGATATCTCCTCCTTTCATCCCCAATCCCAATCTCTGTCTTCTGGACTGTCCTGCCCCGTATCCACTGCGACGACTCATTACGTTGCCGAGGCCAATCAGTCGATTTTTGCGGTTCTAGAAAAATCCGCCCAAGGATGCAGAGGAAGAGGAAGCCGAGGAGGGTGGGAAGGGCGATGTAAAGGGATTGACCTTTCGGGGCGGGAGTAGGGGGTTGGTGATAAATTGGCCTTGAGTAGACTTTTACTCTGACGGTCGGGCCTAGATTCGTTAGTAGGTATTGATACTCCGAGTAGAGTACTAGGCAACTGCTGTTGGCCATTCAAGCGAGAACTTCAAATCAGCAATAGATATTCATTTATTATATCTTAACTACTTAATAATTACAAATCCAAATCAAATAAAAAAAAATCATTTTATTCCTTAGACTCCTTTTATCTTTCTTAATATTTAAGCTAATTTTTCGAAAGCGCACGAACCTTAACACTTAGTATGCTAGCTTTCGGCCGCGATATAAGCTTTAATTTTATCCGGCATACTCTAATAGGTATAAACTATCAAACAACGATTGATCTAATATATCCAATGCAGCTTGCAAACAACTTTCCATCCTTTGCCTTGCGTGTTTTGAATTCGAATTATCGATCGCAACGTCGGGGAACATTTAGTAAAGCTTCTTTTTAAAATGCTATTAAACGTGCTCGATCGGATTGAGGTCGGGGAAAAAAGGTGGCCAATTGATTAATAAAGTGATCTTCTTTTTGCCCAACCAAAGCCGAGCTTTGTTTGCAGTATGAATTGATGCATTATCTTGCTGAAACCGATATTTGCGAGGCAATTTCCGAAAGATTGGCTTGACTTCGGCTTCGAGGACTTCGAGATAGGATTGTGCCGAATACCCATGTTTTTTCGACTCAAAATCTCGATCCATGATATAAAGATTCGATATTTCGCGGTCTTATAAGGCTCTTTAGACCATCACCTTCATATTCTTTTTCGCATCGTATGTTTGGATCATCCGACGCGGGGTGGGGAGGGGGCTTATATAACTGACAGACTGCTCGCCGAGTCCGTAGGAGGATTAATCCTATTCAAGTACAGGGTAACATTGTTCGTCTGCAAATCTTGCAACTGTTCTTTCTGAATCGTCCATACGAATTGACCATCACTGATTGGTACCGGGCTCGATTCGAAAGCTACTAGACCATAACCAGTATCATTCACGTAGTTCGCGACAACCCTGACGGAAGCATTCTTTTGGCTGAAGAATTCCCTGTCCCAAGTCACTGACCGTGTCAGCATCTCCCTCCACCCCGGAAGATCCTGGCATACCGTAGTATTTCCCATCGACATTGACATCCGACCCATTGTCTGGCTTGCAGAATGGCGCATATCTCCCGTCGCGGTTATGGCATTCCTGAAACGATCCGCCTCCTACAGAGAGAGATATTTGTGCAGGGTCCCAATCAGTTTGCGTTGCTGTTCCTGTAGCAGTCAAGCTATACGGAATCGCATTCGCCATTGTCTCGACGCCGTTGATGGTTGTTACGCTTGGTGTGTACGTTGCCACAGGGATACCGCTGGCTCGACCGATACCCAAGGATTGAAAGCGTTTGAGACGTCTAGATTACGGATCTTAGATCTTGGGCTATGCAAAGTTGTATCGGAGAGACATACCATCTCTTTTAGGAACCACGAGTCCGGCGAAAACAGCGAAAGCGTGCATTTCGTGACCGGCGAACGCAATGGCAGTACCTGGTGTTTTCAACTCTCTAGCTGAGAGTTGAATTGGCACATTTTCTCCGTCATCCTCGATCCAAAGATTGTGGAGATGATGCGAATGTTCGGGGATGTTTGGATTCCTACTGTACGGAGTAGTTATTCGGATGAAAGATGTTGAAGTGGATCCCGTGAGACGCGAATTGGCATAAGACCCATATTATAATCTAGCGGCTTGGCAAATATGTCAACGTCAACTTGGGATGTTCCTCTATCGACGTCGACAATGTCGAACCGGCACCGTGCTATGTGAGGCAATTCACGAAATTTGGACATGTCGGAATCGGCGAAAGCTTTCCCCAGGTTCCCAGAGCTGCCACTTGAGCTGCGGCGGATGATTGTAAGTTGCCCAAGGCCGAGGCACTTCGAAATATCCCCAATGTCCCATGCTGATGCTGTAACCGAGTGCAGTGGAGGGATGCGGTTGAGCAGCGCATAATCGAGACATACTGGATCTCCGGCGGCTTTAAATTTCATGCTCATCCACCTCCCCTTCTGGGCACGAACCGCGAGTCCCGGGAGACCGTTCTGGACATCTACAAGTCGAGCCATCAGCATCTGTGGACCAACAATGATGTCGATAATGGTTGCTACACATGTTACGATCCCGACCGGGACATTCTGTACTTCCCGTATAAAACGCAGGTCGGTAAATCATATCCCGGCGTTCGTTTGTGTGCGATACCAATGGCACACTAACACCGGATCAGTGCGCAACATCTCACAGCCGCGCACTTGAATGCTTTTTGTATTCATATATAGATCGTTTTGATATTAAACATCTTGCCATAAGCCTCCCTCCCAAGGACATGGAAGACAAGACGATTCCAGAGCTGCACTCACGATCTTTGAACTTGGATCACTTCGACGAAGTTCAGTCACGGGCGCGGCGGGTTGCGAACCTCCAACTGGAAACTCTGACACTAGTAGTCGGTGATCCTATCATGAAGGCATTGTCGGATCATACAGCCCAGAAACCTAGTGTGGCCCGTTGCTTCAGAGAAATCTCCGAGTCCCATCGCCCTGCGATAGATTGGGCTGCAGGGAAAGATCAAATCCAGCAAAAACTGGCGATGCCGCATGATCCGTGGTATGGTCCTCATGGCACATACCTGGCACCGCTGCCCTCGGATCTGAAGCCACCATGTACCTGGGGAAGCCCCAAAATCCAATTCCGTACTGTGGAGCGGAACTACACTTTTACTGTAAGGGAATTGAGTTACGAACGCTGCTTCTCTTCGAGGAGTGCAGTCCTAGCTACGTTTGGCTAAGAACAGATGAGTGGATTATGGAGGAAGTCAATATCACCAGAGCCAAGCACTGTTCAGGACTGAGAAGTGGGTAAACTTACCACACTATAATTATTACGGGGGAGGCGGATCCGAGGAATATCCAATGAAGCAACATTATCAAAGCCAAACAGGCTTATCATATCTCCTCTTGCCGTTTTGCATTTCCTGGGACTCCGAAACGACCTGCAAGTCCCTCGGCTCTGTCTCAGTAAAATCGGGAGTCTTCTCTCGGGGATAAAAAAATTATCCATCCTCGAGTAACCCTCTCATCATGCATATTTATTTTTCATGCCGGATACCTAAACAGCTGACTTTTCTACCCTCCCATACATACCGGATCTTTGATGCACTGTAGTATTCCCTAGGCCCTCTCTCTATCGAACCCCAAGTCACGACCTAAATAGCTGCACTGCAAGATTGGAGTGGAACTTGCTCTGAAGAGTTTTATTTTGTCGAGGTACTGCTCTGCTGTATTTATTGGTGTTTTGCCTCGCATAGTTACACACTCGTAAAGTGGTACCCACATACCTTAACCTCGCCAACCTCGCCCTTTGATCTCTTCGGCGCGTGGTTCTCGAGCGCTCCACCAACCCGCCCGCTTCCTCGACGCAGCTGAAGCGTGTTTGGAGGGCCATCTTGGTACCGAGCCCGCTTCCCCTCGTAGACTGGTCTTCTTTCCAGTCTTGGCCGCTGGGTTCCAAGCTATCGATTTATCGTGAATGCTGCTTGCTGTTGATACGGTACTCGAGCGCGAACGAAAGGCGAAGGAGGAGAAGTGATCTGCGCCGCTGACCTAGAATTCAAGCAATACAGAGGAGATGAATAAGCAGAGCAGAATTGCCCGTGCGAGTGTTGCGCGACCTTACGCGCCTGGATGCATGACTTGAGGTTGAGGTTGTATATGTCCAGACGTTGGTTGTACTCTGTGCCATAGAGCTTTAGCCCTCGAGCTTTAGTATCCAAAGGACAAAAAGTAATTCCGTCCTGTGGATAAGCACGGACCGTACTCTGTCCGGCATGGATTTTCAACCTCCCACCACTCCTCCACTCGACAACCTCCGTGTAAATATCCATCTCACGAAACAGAATCTCCTTATCTGCCTCTAAAGAACAGGACCGACCGAGAATTCATTCTTTGTGTGATTCCAGTATTCAGAAACGGCCTCCTGAAGACGGAAGCGGTATAATGTTCGATCAATTGATTACCATAATACTTGGGCGACGTCGATGCTACATAACCGAACACTTCTTCGTCCGATGTAGGTAGCTGGCTTGGAGTTATGGCTCTAAACACGTATCAGGTATTTTGGTAAGAGTCTGGGTCGGTATCCGCCAAAAAATCGACAAAAGATGAAAACAGTCCAAAGAGAACGACGCCAAGAGAAGTGCCTATTGATATTCGTCGATTTGTATTCTTCATTACGCCTGGGGTATCATCCTAAACTGTGGCTTCATCGACATGGAGCAGTTCGCGTCGAGCCTCCAACCGGCACGGTGCAAATAGACCCGGACCAAACTCCATACTCCATACTCCACAGACCGGGCCCTGTTGGAAGGTGCGATTCGAGGTCTACACTAGCGCCAGGTGTATCTAGCTGGGCCTCGGTCCTCCTCTTCAAGCAACACCTCTTCCACCAACATTCTCCCTGGCCCAAAAGCAAAGGCGTTAGCCAATTCGTTATCTCAACCATCGATCATCGTACCCTCGAGTCTTCCCCTCTCCAAGGTCCGCCTAATATGCTTATCCTCTAATTTCCTCGCCTTCAACCGGCTCTCCTCCAGTCTCTCAACTCCCTTCATGATACTCTCAAGATGCACCTCCAGCGGAATATCTATCCTATCTCTCAATAACTCCGGGCTCCCTACTCTCTCGCGCAAGTCTTCTAGCCCAGCGCCCATGGCCTGCAGTCTAATAATCGTCCCTGAGACGTGGGCATAGGCCGTCTTGCGGTAAATTCCGACCTGCTTCAGCAAGTCAAGTTTGCGGTCCATTTTATTGATTTTGCCGCGATTACCACCGACCATGGTCCACAGCTCCGAGAGAATCTCTTCTTTGAGGGCTTTAGTGTGCACGTTGTCTCTGATAGCGATGCCATGGATCACGTCTAAACGGTCTTCGAGATTTGTGAGAACCATGAGGACGGCCTGGGCCTCGGCGATGAGGTTGTTAATTTCCTCTTCTACGATGCGGGTGTGTTGGACATATTGATCCAGCAAAATCCTTTCAGTAAATTTGACGGGCTGAAAGGGAGCAAGCAGTTTCTCGTTGACGAAGGCGCTGATTGAGCCTCTTGAGCCATCTCGCTCTTGGATCCCGTCAAGGACTCTTGTCGTCCATCGAGTCGTCGCGATAACGCCGTCGACAGCTCGGCCCACGTGGCTGTTGAATTTTTGAAGGTCGTACGATGCAATGCGAGAGGTTTCAATGAAGCCATCGAATTCTAGAACGAGTTCATTTCTGGGAAGAGTAAGCGATGGTATAAATAGTAGCAAATTCCGTCGCCGGCGAGGTTAGTAGCGAGACTTACTTGGATTGGAGCTGGCTATAGCGGACCAGTTGACGTAGGTCTCGGATAGATGCCTCGCCTCGCTTCATGTCTAGCGGTAAGGAGACTCCACCAGCGCTCTCTTCTAGGACCTCCTCGAACTTGGCCTGGACTGACATTAAGTCATTGAACTCTGGTGTCGCTCCGTGACTGCTGTCGGTCAGGTGGACCGGGCAGAACGGGAGGTTCAGGAAAGAAGATCCAGGTATTCTGCAAAGAGGTGACATGGACGCATAGATGGAGTTCGTAACCAGATTTCGTACAGTGATGAGGATCCCAAAGAGTAGCCATATGGCGAGGAAATATGAGAGGGGTTTCTTGAGGACTTTTAGAGCGCCGGTGAAGACATCCAAGAGCCATGACATGACTGCGGTAAGGTGTTCAGCGCCAACATCAACAATATCCTGTAGATTGGTACTGTTTATGTTGTTGTTGCTGCTGCTGCTTCTGTCTATGAGGGTCGTGGGCGGATGTTCTTTCGTGGCAGTCTTTGCTGCTGGTCGCTTCACGAGACTTCCGTTACCCACACGCTCGTTCCTTCTTCTTGTTCCCAAGACTCTTTCTGCGGACTGCTTCGCCCTCGCCCTCGTCGTACTTCTGCTTTTCGTATCTGCCCAGGACCCATCCATCGAGTTGAAGTCCACCGACGGGATGACCAGTTCGGACTCCGGCGATGTAGTTCCTCGCCTGGATGATCTTCGCGGCGGTGGCGGCTTGTATTCATCGTCTTGAGGTGAATACGATGGATCCTCGTTTTCGTCTTCGCCCTCGACTACCCAAGAATCTCCTAGTTGGACTTCCTGCTTGCCCGGCGGCATGATGAATACTTTGATACTGTGTCTATTAGTCCAGGAAGCAAGAAGCTACCGGAAGCAAGAAGCTACCGGTTGTTTGCTCAAAAGCGTTCGTTCACCTGGCCAAAGTAGACGAATTATGCGATCAAGTAAGACACCGATTTCTCAAAATTTCATGGCAAGAGAAGAAGTATGAACAAGGCATAAGTTCGAAGCCATGAAGCCATGAATGAAATGAAATATATGTTCCACGAGGCCGGCCGCTCGTCACCTTACCTATGACGTTGGCAGCTGATCCTGGCTCGTCGCGTGTCGCCAAACTTGCAGGGATCTTGGCGCGCTTCCGAGGTCAATATATTTTGGCGACTCATTCACTCCGTCCATTGCAATCGTGCCCGCCATGATGCGCTCCTCGAGAGCATTGCGGCTGCTACCGATCAGCGCAAGGAATCCGCATGCAGCCTCTCAGACAAGAAGGAAACTGCAGCAGTCCATCCGCAATGGATATTGCACTGTCTGCGAGCCTCCTGCACCAGTGACAGAGAGGACGGCAGAGTCAACCACGAATACCCCGAAATCCTTAGCAGACCACCGACAGCTAGGCATCGAGCAAGAGCTCTTCACGACCTCCATCTACAGCCCCGGCTCCCCTATGTTTCTTCCTAATGGTACCAGAATCTTCAACCGGCTGACGAATTTCGTGCGCTCTAAATATGATCTTTTCGGATTCCAAGAAGTCATTACTCCGACTATATACAAGAGGTCGCTCTGGGAGAAGTCAGGGCACTGGGATCACTATGCGGATGACATGTATGCAGTCACTGGTCGAGGGGCGAAAGGAGGGACGGAAAACAAGCAGGTGGGAGAAGATGAGGAGTATGGGCTGAAGCCTATGAACTGTCCCGGGCATTGTCTCATCTTCGCATCAAAGCAAAGAAGCTATCGAGATTTGCCGATACGATATGCCGATTTCAGCCCTCTGCATCGAAACGAGATCCATGGCGCGTTGAGTGGGCTCACCCGAGTACGGAGATTCCACCAAGACGATGGGCACATCTTCTGTCGGCCGTCTCAGATTGAAGAGGAAATCTCGAGCACGCTGGGATTTATAAAACTTGCGTATAAAGCTCTTAAGCTAGGACCATACCGATTGGCGTTGTCGACAAGACCCGCGGACCACTTCATTGGTACAATCGAGGAATGGGAAAACGCAGAAGCAGCCTTGATAAAGTCGCTGGATGCCAGTGGCCAGGAGTGGACGCTCAACAAGGGCGACGGAGCTTTCTACGGACCCAAAATTGACGTTATCCTGAAGGATTCGGACGGGAAGGAGCACCAGACCGCTACGGTCCAGCTGGATTTCCAACTGCCGAAGCGATTCGAATTGGAATACCAAGCCCCAGCAGCAGAATTTGAACAGAAGGGCCTTACAACCGAAGATCCAGAACTGTTGGCTGTCCAAGGGCCCGTCACGCCCGTTCTCATCCACCGAGCAGTCCTGGGGTCTGTGGAAAGGATTATGGCGCTGCTGATCGAGCACCACAACGGCCACTGGCCGTTCTGGTTGAATCCCCGTCAGGTGATGATCATCACAGTGAATGACTCACTCCCCGTTGTTGAGTTCGCCCACAAATGCAGAAATGCGCTCACCAACACATTAGATGAAGATGGAACGAGAGAAGATACCTTGAATATGGGGGCCGCTTTCGGCCTCTCGGTAGACATCGACTCCTCTGCTCGGTCCATCGGGAAGAAGATCCGCGAGGCAAAACAGAAGCGATACTCTGTCATAGCTGTGATCGGCGAGAAAGATATTTCGGAGAAGAGTCTCGTGGTGGACCTCACAGGTATTCCAGGGGCCGAGGGCGGGTTGCCGCAGAACAGGCTTCTGGCGATACTAGCCGCAGAGAAGAAGGGCATTCTCGACCATGAAGCGATTAGCCAGGTCAGTCAGGTTCCGGCGTTAAACCCAGGGGATCTGAAGAATTTGAGGATGCCGCTGTCGGCCTTGAAGACCGTTCTCAACAGTATACAAACACAGTATCTGTAGGCGGGCAAGCACTTAGAACCATACAGTGTACCTCCCACTGCCTCAAACAAGCCTACAAAATGTATCCATTCCCATGCGCCACCAAAGCCTCCTCCAGGTAAATATCCCCCATGCCCGTATGCCGCCATATACCCAGGTTTGTAAAATTTTCCCATGCGGGTTACACCCCCCCCATCAACGCCATCCCTTCATTCGTCCTGAAATCATCATCACGTTTGTCACGGCCCTCGCAGCTCCTCCTCAACCTCCCCCCCCATCTCCTCGATCCTGCTCATCAAGCGCTGCCTCTCCGCCAGCTGCACCCGGATATAATCGACCGTCTTCTTCAACACCACGCTCTCGCTCCGTCCCTGTCCCTCCAGGCCGGGCACGAGTTCCGTAAGGCGATCGAAGCCGTCGCGGATAGCTTGTCTGCGCTTCTGCTCTGTAGATGGAGTGTGTCAGTCGATTGTTAGCTTGCGATATCCCTCTGGGCTGTGAAAGAAAGAAAGATGGATTGTGTAGAAGATGGAAGATGGAAGATGGGAGGATGGGAGGATGGGAGGAGGATATGGGGGGATATAGGGAGGGACGCACCTGAAGCGATATGGTTCGCCTTCTTCTCCTGCTCGCTCAACCGGGGCTTCTCTTCCGAGCCTTTCGTCGAGCCTGGGTTCGCAGACCCCTCGTGCGAACCCCGCTCGCGCGGCGACAAAGACATGTCTCTCCTCTCTATTCTCTGTCTCTGTCTTTATATCTCTGTTCTCTCGGTTCTGTCTCCCTATCTTACCCTATTCGCCGGTCTTGTCCTCGAGAGCCTCGGATCGTGCGCTCACTCGAGTCCAGTTGACTTTGCTTCGCATCGCACACGCGGGGTAAGGTTGCTGCTGCTGCTGCTGCTGCTGCTGTTATTATGATTGTTGTTGTTATTGTTGTCGTGGTCAAAGGTCGTGGAAGTACGTCGACGATAGTGATCTCTTTACAACTCCATCACATGCCGTTCCTGATCCCATCTCAAGCAAAATCCACTCCTTACAAGGGAGGAACAAGCTTAAACGCCACTTACTCACCGGCCGCACGGGCCGACACTTGCACCCCACTAAAAGGCTCGACGACAGCCTTGCATGCAATGCAATTCAGTCAGCGATCAACAACAACAACAACAAAAAAAAAAACCAACGCTCGAAAAAAAATTTCTCGAGCTTTTTTTAGGAGGGATTCTGAAAAATGGCTGAGGAAAAGATCACACTGCCAGTCGGTGATGTACCGCTGCCAACAACGTACGACGCGGCTGCCACTCAACATGGCGATCTGCCCGTCCGGACTGGACCTCCAGCAGCAGCAGCAGCAGCAGGGGGGAAACCGATACTGCGGGGACCGTTTCCGCTGGAGATACCCGTCCTGACGCAGTTGAGAGGGAAGAGACTGATACTGGCGTCTGCGAGTCCGAGGCGGAAACAGATATTATCAACGGTAACATCCCCTTCCCTTTCTCCTCCCTTCCCTTTCCCTTTCTCTTCCCATCTACCAAAATTATCTTACCAAGGTGGTCAAAAATTAAACCCCCTCCCCCCAACCCCACAGATCGGCCTCACAAACCTCGAGATCCTCCCCTCCACCAAGCCCGAGAACCTCTCCAAGGCCCTCCCCCCCTTCGACTACGTGCACCAGACCGCCGTGCAGAAGTGCCTCGACGTCTACGCGCACGCCATCGCCAACACCCTCGCCTCGATCCCGGACCCGGCCCTGGTCATCGCCGCCGACACGGTCGTCGTCACCACCGCCGGGCGCATCCTCGAGAAGCCGCGCAGCGAGAAGGAGCACCTGGCCGTGCTGAAGCTCCTCCGCGACCAGAAGGTGCACAAGGTGTACACGGCCGTCGCGGCCCTGGCGCCCCGGGACGACGCGCGCGACCCCGGGTATAACCTCGAGACGACGGTGGAGGAGACGAAGGTCTTCTTCGCCACGGACGTGAGTGATGAGTTGATTGAGGCGTACGTGCGGACGAGGGAGGGCGTCGATAAGGCGGGCGGGTATGGCATCCAGGGCATGGGGAGTTTGCTGGTGGAGAGGATTGAGGGGGCCTGGGATAATGTTGTGGGCTTACCTCTGAGGGCTACGCTGGCCTTGATTGAGAAAGCGGTGATGGATCAGATGGAGGAAGGGAGTAGTGATGGCGAGGAGGATTGAGGGATGGTTTGTCATGTGGTCGTGGCCATGGTGGGGGTGGTGGCGATGATGGTCGATCGGAACGAGCGAGGGTGGACCTGGTGTGCATTCGCATTGCGGGCGTTAAGATATCAAAATGTCATCTGCTGTTTTTTCCACTTTCTGAAATAGAAACATGATATCAGATATCCGCTCCAGATCACCTCTTGGCAATTAAACAGTCACGCCAGCAGCCAACGTCCCGGATGGAAAACCGGCTTGGAGAAGAGTGAGAGGCAGGAATACATCAACGAGAAAATACAGAAGAGAAAGTCGTGGCGGTAGATGAATGACAAAAGGACATGCATACGAGAAACGCCTTGGTGACGCCTGGGTATCTAAAAACAGCTTTCCAATCCTCCGGACCCGCCCGGTTAAATGAATGTATATATGTACTCCGATATGCTCCAAGCCTTAGCAGTCTGCTTCTTCCATTCGAAGAAGACTGGCGATTCGATTCTCGCCCTTCCGGCGCCACGTGAATTATCATCACATGCCGCTGCAGGCATATAAAACCCAGTCTTTTCTCCCAATCATTATTTTCGTTTTCATAAGGTTTCACAGCGGCCTAAACGGTGATGCTGACATGCTTCCTATTCTCCGCCTCTTCGATAGGGAATCCAAACACCAACTTGTAGAGCTGTTTCAGAAACGGGTATTGTCCACTCCTCATCATCCAGCCCACACTCTTCGCGACATCTATCGCGCTCGCGTTCTTGCCCATAGCCGGTAGAGCATTCGAGCTTCTGAACGTCGGATCGCTGAGAATGAGATTCCGGTACGCTGTGAGCAGCTTCGCGTGTGCGGGCAAAGAGCCAAATGAGCCCGTAGGGAGGGCTTTGATGAAACTCTGAAATGCTGGGGGACCGGCAGAATTGGGGTTCGCGCTGGTAGGTGTGGTGCGAGAGAAGCCGACATTCATCGCGGCCTTCAGAATCAGGATTTTCAGTCGGGTGAGGTTGATATCTTCCGGGCTGGCTGCTGTAGTGACTGTACTGTTGGATTTGGCGCTTCCTTGCGAATATGTAGATAGTGTTGAGGTGGTACTCGACCACCGGGCGTTGGCTGATCGGCTGCCGTCGGTGCCAAGAACCAGAATATTGGGGATATTTGGGGAATTGGCTTCGGGTGAGATGGGAGTGTCTTCAAATTCGGTAGTGGGCGTTTCTGGGTTATATGGGGTACGAGCGTGCTCTGGATGGTCCGGGTTCTCGGGCAAGCTGGGCAAGCTGGGCAAGCTGCTGCTCTGGGTATGTGAAGACCGACTCATCTGATCAGATGTCTGGGTAAAAGTTGTTTGTGAAGGTCTCGGCGTCCCTCGCTCTGGCCGAACCTGGGTCCATCCTTCGCGGAATAGGTCGCAGAGCTCCCAGCACGCTTGCACTGCCGACCCAAGAAGTTCTTCATCAGGCGCTTTGCCCTCTCGTTTATTTTGGCGGAGGCTGAAGAGCATCTCGGCTAGCCCCCAGCATGCTCGGAGCAGGGCGTCGGTTTCCTCGGCAAGTTCATTCCGTTGCTTCATCAACCTGTGGCAGAGTGTGATGTAGAAATCCAATGTTCGCTCCCGGAAAGCCTCTGGTAAGTTCCGGTCATGTGTATTATATAGATGATTGTTAAGTTCAAAGCTCACTCTCAGAACAGAATCAGCGACCTCATCATTCCGCTGTCGGAAATCAAACAAAGCCTGGCAAAAATCCCGGCATAGATCCAGAGTCGGTCTCACATGAGATTCGTGGTCCTCGTCACGGCTGTCATAAAGTTTCTGGCACAGTTTCCAGCAGCACTTCCAGGCTGTTTCGTGGGCATCTCCAGTTCCAGAGTAGCTGAAAATTCTCTCTCGGTGAATTGAGCTCAAACTCGCGAGGGTATTGCACAAAGTCCAGCACTCGTTCAGAGCGGCTTTCAGGGCTTGGACCTCCTCATCGGAATTATGGACAGTTCGGGCTTCGAAGTCATCTTCTTCGGCAACACGATGCTCCTCAGGTATTCCTATAAATCATGAGTAATGCAAATTGCTTCTGCGATTCGATGAAGACAAACCTCCGAGGCTGTGGGCACTGCTGGATCGAATGGAGCCCCCGTGATCGCTGCTGAGGGCCTCGATCTCTTGCCGGGTCTGTGCCCGAGGCGTAGCATTTTCTAATCCGTAATTGACAGGCGACACATTGGTAGAGATTGGTGGAGGTGATATTGGACTCGGATGTGAACTCTGAGCTGACTTAGTACAGATCCGATAGTGGACGGCGCAAATCATCAATTACCTTGTCCTTTGGAACCTGCAGATCTACGCTAATATTTGATGGGACATTTTGATCTTGCTGGTACGGGGTAGGCGTAGATCGGTCGGCTGGTGGTGGTCCTTGGACGGAGAGGTTGTCAGGTATAATCTAGGGCATTCAGCAATGTCTCCGCCAGCCGAATTTTAGCTCAACTCACAAATTGACCGTACCCTTTCGGCGCATGTATGACAGAGACGGATTCGTCTCCCGCAGAGGATCTAGCATCATCGGGCAAGTTTGTGCTGATTCTCTTCAACTGTACAAGAAGTCAGACAAGAATTCGGAATATCATGGCCGCACATACCGTAGCCTGCGAGTCTGCGGACCCAACAAGTCTCGGTGGTGAAGGTCTGGTTTCCTGCTCCTGCACCTCGTCTGCCACTTCATCCTCGATTTCTGTTGTTTCTGTGCCATTCGAGGTAACGGGTGATGGCCCCACCATATCACTTGGACTTGTCATTTGGAGCCCGTTCGTAGAGTGGTCATCCATTGCGTTCGGCCGAAGATGCGATGATTCCTGAGAGCTACGCGTTGAGCTATGTAGACACGTCAGTAAATGCAGCCCGCGAGCTTGATTTGTACGTACATGGACCGAAAGCGCGGCGAATTGTTCATGGCAGGAGAATTTGGAGAGAGCGAGAAGTCGGTATAAGGAGAGAAGGTGGACATGATATTATTGCCTGGGGACGAAGAGACGAGTGGACTCTCCAAGGCCATGGTTGGAGCGAGGCTCATCTTGTCAAAAGGGTCCTCTGGGTCTGGATCGGTCGGTCTTCGAGGCTGGTCCAGCGGGAGTGGAGGAAGGAGGGGGGACTGGTAGATAGATGGATAAATCGACAAATCGATAGATAAATAGATAAATAGATAAATAGATAGAAAGATAGAAAGATAAGTAGATAGCCGGGTTGACCTGGTCCTGGCTCAAGGCTTCTTCTGGCCCAGACGATCGGCTCGACCGGGCTGTTCCTGTGAGACTGAGATGCTCGGTCGAGGCTGAATCCAGAACAAAGCCCACGGGGATTCGGGGCCAGGAGCAGAAGTATTCGGCGTGTGGGGTCGGCAATGGGCATGCCGATCCGATCCTTGCAATTGATGCCCCGGATGGAATTCAGTTTCATTCAGTTCAGTTCAGTTCAGTTCAGTTCAGTTCAGTTCAGTTCAGTTCAGTTCAGTTCAGTTCAGCTCAACTCAACTCAACTCAACTCAACTCAACTCAACTCAACTCAGGCCAGGCCAGGCCAGGCAGAAAATCGTTGGTACAGTCAGCAAGTCTCCAGTCCTGCCAGTCTCCGTCGCGGGCCAATAGCGAGCGAACTCTGCAAGCAACTCAAGCAATCGGATGTTCTCTTCATCCTCATCGACCGACCGACCGACTGCACTCTGGCCTTGATGCGGCATCTGCGCCCAGCTTACTTGGATCAGAATTCAACGAATCATGCCACGAGATGCGCGTCTCTACTGTACAGAGTAGGTCCGCCGGCTGCATGAAGGGGAACAGGCATCGCGGCGCTTAGCAGCTGTTCAGCTGGGAGATCCTGGAAAACACATCGACCTACACATACCCGTACCGTATAGTACGGAGTAAGGATATTATTCTCTCGTATGAAATTCTCTGCTTTCATCCCAGATCGTGATCCCCGGCCAGAGCCTGGACTCGAACATTGGCTCAACAAAGAAAGAGGAAAGGGTACGTGAGAGATAGTTAGTCCGGGATGAGAGGACTTGGAAAAGGTGTGTGGAGTAGTAGAATTTGTCCTGAAAATGTTTTTGTTGTGGCACAGTAACTTGCCGAGCTTGTACCCGGTGCTGTGGTCAGGTCGCAAAGTAGGATCTTCAGATGAGGTTATTGGGACCTTAACCAAACATGATCTACCTAACCAACATGAAGGCTACAGTGCAATAAGCATAACCAGCCAACACGCCATCTTCTCTTTCGCCAACAACTGTAAGCCTTCACCTACCTACTCGGTAAGGGAGAATATTCGGTAAGGAAGAAAATGCGGACCAGTAGGCATATACGACAAGCTCGACTGCATTGGCTGATTCCTTTCTCAGATGCGAAGACCAATTGCGGTCTAGCAGTCTCTTGGGAAAACGTTCGACATGTGTTCTAGACGAGCGTCCATGTTCTTCATCGCTTCTTGAAATCCAAACGTCTGCGCTGCTTCTCCACACGCACTTGCGCTTGCATAGGCGCCCGAGTGGGTGAAACTCTCATCAAAGCTAAGCAGCCAGCTTGTTTTCCGGTTGTTTCTTTCTAGCTGCATGAGCAGCATGAGCAGGCAGCAAAGAGCATCGTCTCGAGCGGTAACAGACTCCATCGAGCTTGGATTCTCAACTATGGTGCAGAAACAATGCGTTGCCCGTTCAGGGCAAGAGCACGGAATACTTTCTCGGTCACAGAATAACTTTGTCGGCCTGGAACGTGCCGTGCGGCACGTAATTTTCAGGTGCATCGGCTGCTGTGGCGCGGCTATTCTGTGCCTCTTCGGAACAGTGAGTCTTGGTGGGAAATCTCGTCTGATATTGGGAATCAATCTACCTGCCAGGAGCCACTCCCAGGCCTCTAACGCCTACGAAAATGCGCCTGTTTATGCTGGGGCTGGTGAAAATGTTTTGCCCGCCGTAGAACGCCTGTGCCTCTGCATCTGCCCGGATGCCAATTACCCATCTAGACCAATGCTGCCTTCTTCGTGTCTCGGTCCGCAGGGTTGTATCTAAGAGCTGTTAGATACCGAGGTATGGCAGCCTCCACATGGCTGGGAAAGGGGCGTATGCGAGGGCTGTATACGCACTTCAGGAGTTTCTCGATGAGGTCGACGTGAGTCATGATCATTCTGCGGCAGCAGTATCGTTTGCATCCCAGCCGATCCATTGCATCTCTGTTAGTTTATCAGTAGGCGGCGCATACAGAATTATAAAGCCAGACTCGGACTGACCCATCTTGCACTTGCTGATCAATGAGCTTCAAGTATCGCTCCCATAGATCTCCGACCACCTGCCTGCAAGTTAGAATGGCGCAACAAAGATGGCACAAGATAGGGGGGTGGTGAGACTTGCCTTCCCGCAGGAGAAGCATCGCACAGGAATAATCATCTTGAATAGCCCTCCTAAGATGTCGAGTCTGAAAAAAAACGCCAAGGTTGCGCGGGGTTGGTAGCTTGTCAGATATACAGACGACCTCGTGGCTGTCGAGTTCCTAATGTCTGATTTCTGAGCGGGCGCTAAGAAAACAGCGGCCGACGCAAAATCAATTTTCCGCATCCTCCGTAGACAAAAAAAAAAGTTCACCCAGACACCAATCCCCAAAGCGAATTTGCCAACAACATGACTTCGTTATTGAAGCGCAAAAGAGCCCCGGTGGAAGTTCTCGATACGCCCAAACGATCGAAATCCGTAAAAACGAAATCAGGAACGCCGCTACGAAGTACGATCCAGAATCAAGGCTGGGAGGCAGCTCTCGACCCACCAAGCGCAACTGGGAAGGCATTAGTGAAGAGTGAGAAGGCAAACGGTGTGAAGGGGTCAAATGAACAGTTGGGGTCTCCAGAGCTCATCGATAATGAAACTATCAAGGGCAAAGGCAAGGGCTCCAAGGGCAATGTGGGGGAAGTGCCAGGCTCAGGGAAAAAGAGGAGGAAGAGGAAGCAACATGGGGAAAAGAGCGCCACAGAGCAAGTGATGAAGGATAAGAAGAAGAGTCATCCAGAGTCAGCTCCGGTCATCAAGCCCATCAAGAAGACAGATATCAAGCCGGCCAAAAGGAACGCACTCGAGCCGTGGAAATTGTCTGCGCCTATTGGGGGCCGCATGGTCAATGCGGATCCCGTCTTCAGCAAGGATGAAAAGTGAGTCTTGACTATCTTATATCTGGAATGCTGCTGACTATTTCAGATTTCTGATTGTTGCACATCTGGGTACCATTCAGGTCTTCTCGACTGCCGACTCACTTCTCACTCGATCGATTAAGCTCAAGCTCAATGAGGCGGCCGACATCCTCCCGCGGATCATTGCATTCTGCCTTTCGCCGACCGATGAGGATATTCTATGGGTTGCATGCTCGGATGGATCGATCTACAGTATAGACTGGACTTCAGGGGTTGGCGCCGAACAGTACTGGGGCGTTTCTTCGACAGGGTGCATTCACATGACCGTAGCCTCTATGGACTCGGCAGACCGAAGACGAGATGTGATATTTACGACTGAGGCCCGCAAAGATGGAGGATTCCGAATAACTGCGAACGAGTTAGCTCCACCGAACAGCGAAGTCAAGACCGTAGCCAGGACAATCTATACATCCAACCAGCGGATCCACTTTTTGAAGACGGCGAAAGAAGGATCAATCATCGTAGCAATTTCTGGAAACAAGGCTTTGGTAGGTCGACTTCGATCGACCGAGTACGATACCCTCGACAGGATCCGATACGAGTTCAGGATATTCGAATCCACGGAAACGATCAAGTCCCTGGATATTCGAGTCACCACGAGAACAGCAACGGAAGGAATGAATAAGAAATTCAAGAACATGTTGGTTGTGGCCTTAGCGATTGGGGATGTGAAGGGCGTTGTGTACCTGCACAGCGATATCCTCGCAAAGCTGTTTGCTGATGGGGTTGCGTCCGGAATGAGTCTGGCTCCACGGAAGATGCACTGGCATCGACAAGCAGTACATACGGTCAAATGGTCTCTTGATGGTTTGTTTCCCTAAAGTTGGCTGACCCCCATTCTAACTTTAAGCAGGTAACTATGTCATTTCTGGTGGCACTGAGACTGTTCTTGTCCTGTGGCAACTCGACACTGGAAAGCAGCAATTCTTGCCTCATATGGCTGCAACCATACAGAATGTAGTTGTTTCGCCTACTGGGACTTCGTATGGTGTCCAGCTCGCGGACAATTCAGCCATGGTGCTTTCCACATCTGAGCTCAAGCCAACCGTTAACATTTCTGGGATTCAAACCTGTGTGGTCGAGTCTGAGCCTTCCGTTGAATCTCAGGTGGAAAGACTCGAGGAAGCCACCTGGAATCAACCTCTGATACAACGCACTCCTGCTGTTATCCTCCCAACCAACACCTCACGGCTTCTCCTTGGGGTTGGACAAACACAGGAAATCCGCGCCAAGAGGCCGGCGGTCACCAGTAGCCCCTTTCTTCAAACCCTCGACCTTGGATCTGGTCACAACGTAACTCGCCAAGCTCTGGCGAGAACTAACATCACAAGCGTAAATGCGGCTCCAGGTCTCCAGCGGATAACAGAGCCGAGAATCACCCACATGAAGATTTCGCACGACGGAGAATGGCTTGCGACGATCGACGAATGGGCACCTCCGGCGCGGGATTTGCAGTTATCGAGACGTCGGGACAAGGAACTTGCAAACGAACGCCAAACAAATCGAGAAGTTTTCCTCAAGTTTTGGCAGTGGTGTCAAGCAAGCGAGACGTGGGAACTTGTGACCAGAATCGACTCTCCACACTCCGATGGTTCCGATTTGGGGAATGCTGGGATGATCGTAGATCTCGCTGTGGATCCAAGCTCCTTGCGTTTCTCCACCATCGGCGAGGATGGCGTTGTTCGCGTATGGGCTACGAAGACCCGAAAGCGAAATGAAATAGTCGTCCGCGGTAAAGACAACAAACCGCTTCGGAACTGGAACTGCGAGCTCGCAATTTCACTCGGCAAAGCGGAACTTCCAGACGGAACCGACACGACGTGTGACCCTTGTGGATGCGTTGCATTTTCGGAGGACGGATCAATCCTAGCCGTCGCCTGCAATAACAACGACGGACTAGTGCATTTCCTAGACCCAGACACTGGCGATATCCGCCTCTCCCAGACCGGACTCTTCGAAGACGAGATCATCGCCATGGAATTCCTCGGTCAAGATCTGCTCACACTTTCAGATAAACTTATCGTTTTCGACCTCGTGTCTGGAGAAGCCCGCCTCATCATCAAAGCCCACGCTGCCACAAAATCCCTATCTACCAGGCAGAAACAAGAAATGATGCACCTAGCCGTCGACCCTAAAAGCCGTAATTTTGCCGTCGCGCTTCCAAGTATCCGAGATCCAGGATCTTTGCGCACTGCAAGTTCGGAACTGGTTGTCTTTCACCAAGATACCCGTGACCCGCAATTAAAAGAGGTATTTCAAACGCTCATCACAGCGCTCCTCCCAGCTCTCGGTACGGAGGGCTTCCTGGTGCTTGACACAGCGGCCGAAATCCATACCGTTCTGAAGAAGGGCACTCAGGGCGTCACGATGCTTGCTCAATCTACATCCGCCCTCCAACTCGACGCCCTTGAAAACACGACTACGGAAGCCATGCGCATTGACGAAGATGCCGATCTTTTAGACGCAGAGGAATACCCTACACCTGCCCCCACCCAAGACGGAGAAGCAGGAATGGAAGAGGAAGACAACGAGACGCCGGTCGTCGCGCAGCAAAAACTGGCGGAGATCTTTAATATCGGGCCGGCATTTGCACTGCCCCCGATGGAGGAGATGTTTTACCAGGTTGCGGACCTATTTTCCAGCAAGCCAGTGCGCAAGGCTGCAGCGTAAACTGATGGTGAGAAGTGGACTGGAGTTTAGGGAGTTTGGTAGCATTTCTACGAGGCAGGTGTATGGAAAGGGGACGGAAAAGAAAAGTACGAATGGAGATTGCATACCCGGAACTGTATCCCTTGTTCATAAAGTCCGTAATTTGCACACACATACCAGTACTCGCTGCTATATTCTTGAAAGTAATCTCGGTTTATCATCATTCTGGTCTTGTGGTACTGAAATCGTCGTAAGTGGCAATATCACACGAAAAGGACAAAGTAAACAAACCCGTACCGCTAACCGAGAACATCCGCGAACTCATATCATTAAAATAAATTTTATATGCCTTGCGTTTTTCATAGCCCGATAAATGTTCCACATCAGTTATGCAATGGAGTTATTAAAGCCAGTGAAGCCCAAAGGGGGTCGGAACCGTCTTTCATCAATTGACTTGGGGGTACACCTATTTACATGAGGTTGCGCCTTTCCCACGCCTCCATACCACACTCTCTGAGCCAGCCTCTTGACGAGAAATCCCGCCCACCGCAGTAGGTATCTACCAACGTACCACGCAATTCCCTCGATTCGCCAGATTACCAGCAGACATCCATCCGTCGCCGCATCTGAAGAAAGATCCCAAGGTCCCTTCCTCGGGCAATCATCGAACTCACCGCCACGTAGGAGCAGAATCGTATACCAGGGCAAGGCGCTGCTGATCGCGCATACTCAGACGTTCTAGTATGCTCGCTTCCTGCCCGCCACCCCTCATTCCGTATTGCCGAAGGCATTGCAACAACGAAGCAACATAACAACCAAGGAAAGGAAGGGGGGAGGAGGGGTTAATCAACCCGGGAAAAAGTTGAGCGTTGATTAGTTTTTTCCCCCTTTTTTTTNTTTTTTTCCTTTTTTTTCTTTATTATTAC